CCCCACCCCAATCTTCACAGTCCCTTCAGAAGTATAACCACATTCTTAGATGATGGAGAGCTTAGGTGATAGGACAGTTGGCATATCTAAAGGAAGCAATCCAAAAATAAGTTAAGGATAGAGGCCTATTTAAGCCTGTTAAAAATAAGCAAATAGGCAATCCTTACTGAAACAGAAGTAGCTAAAAAGAATTTCTGTAGTTTACAGAAGTAGGTTCTTTATAAGTTGATTACCTCTTTTTATTGCCATTCACCTAATGGCTAATGGAATCAAATTTTGCCAAATGAGTACAAAGTTTCTTTGTACTGTCCTTTCAAACCACAGAGGATTAGATCTAGGTTCAGATGCCTCCAACTGGACTTGCAGACATTCCTGTTCCCTTCATCTTAATGTGACATAGACACGTGGTTTGCCTAACACAACAACCCACAGACCAATCATACTTGAAGTCCACGTATGGGTCGCTGAACTGTATGTTATTCCACTGTGTGGATTCAGTCATGCCAACAAACCATTGTTAACCATGAACAGCCTATGAGTGCCCATGGTTTAATGCTGGATTGTGAACTGTGGCTTGTTTGCAGGGCAGAGGGTCAGGGTACCCTGTTGAATGGGGTTTGCAGGCCAAGACATTTCGAAGGCCACAGATCCATTCATCCCTCACCAGTGGCTATGCTTGTTGCATGAGTCATAGGTGAAAATGCCTTTAATGTCCTAAGTTGCCCATCCTTCCCTGGGTAGCCTTTGGAACAGTGAGGGGTTTCCTGAAAATTGGGTGGGGACACCTTCTGTGAGAAGAGCTGTGCGGATGGGACTTGTTGCTGGAGATTCCTTTTGCATCCATCCTCTCTTGCAACCCATCCCGTTCAGCAGTCCCCATCCAGCCTCCTATGAAATATTTTCCAGGAGCTAAAGGGCCTGCCATAGGGAGGGGGTGAGCGCTTCCTACCAGCCCAGTGACACACTCCCAAATCTGAATCCAACCTTTTTTTCTTTGCTTTGTGTGAGGAAGATCTGATGTTTCAGAAGCCTGCCCAACCTTTTTTTAAAAAACCAAACTGGTAAAATGTGTCAACTTTCAACATGCCTTTGTGTCTTCTATCATTATGAAGTTGAGTTCTTACACAGGGAGGGCTAAAGATGGACCCTGGACAAAGGAGGAGCCAAGATTTAAAAGCGGATGACGCAGGAATATCAGAAGAGGCAGACAAAGAAGCAGTCCAGGGCCAGCAACTGAGAGCCGGCCGACTCGCCCACCCCCAAATGTCCTTTATTCAGCCTGTGCCCCACTTCCAGACCAATCTCCCAAAATGGATCAGAAGTTCCATGCTGCCAGTCCACTTCCTGGTCAATGTCACACAGTGTTTCTATTAACCTTACTTACACTCTCTCCCCTTTCTCTGGCAGCTAGAATAACTCGGATGCTACACCAAATACCCACAGACGGATACTTGTTGTAGTGTGTGGCAAAGGATGTAACCTGTTTACTCAGAAGAATGGGTCACTGAATAATAGGAATGATCAGCCATCAGTACCTATGACCTTTCACACTTTTCTTTGCAGCCTTAAGGACTAGGAGCTTGCTTTTTAAAAAGGAAAAAAATTGAGATTTTTGACCTCTGCTCTCAGAACAGAATCCCATGCTTCACCAAAGCCGTTTTGGAAGCACGGGATGACTTCATCCCTCATCAGTATTACAGCTCCACAGCCCAACCAAGTACATGTTCACTTAGATGCAGGCACGCTGTGTTCAAATGGAGCTTACTCCAAAGTGAATGTGAACAAGATTGCAGCTTTAGTCATGAGTACATTGAAAGATTAGTCACAGCAGATCATTCTCTCTTACACAAGAACGACAACTGTTTTTTTGGAAAGTTACATAAAGCTGTGGTCACACAGCTGTACCTATAGCCACATATGCACAGAGGCAGAGCTCATGCAGACAGTATGTGGCAAATATTCTCCCATATACATAGAACTTTTTACGGTAAACTGCAGCCATGCAACAAGGACAAAGCTCTCTCAGCCCAGCTTTTTCATGATGAGGCTGATTCAAAATCAAACCAGAGTTATCTACCCACACAGCTTATTGCCTGGTTGACCAACCGACATCACTATTAACAAGAGACTTTTCAGCTCCAACACGACAAAGAGCTGAAACTCTGGTGGAGATACTGGGCCAAAAAATTCAGAATTAACAATATACAAGTGACTGCTGCGACAGACACCAAATAGGCAAGATCACAGCCGTCACCCCAGTCCTTTGGTGGTAATTGGTGCAAAGTATGTACTACCCTCCAGTTCTATATTCACAGTCAAGTGTGTTTATTCTAAAGCTGCTGCTCAGACACTGTAGAGAAGAGCCTGGTGGCATTGTTTTAAAAGTTGCCATTGCAGTGGTGACCGATCCAAGACCAATTCCAAGGTGTGCCCTTCTGCTGAATGCTGAGGTAGATTGTAGCCTTCCCCAAACTGGTTTCTTCAGATATTGCTAGATTTCAACCCCTATCAGCCGGAGCACAGGCATTGGTTGGGGTGCTGGGAATTGTAGTAGTCCAAAGCATTTGGAGGGAACCAGGATGAGGAAGGCTGTGTTAGCATGTTGACGTTAGATGGGAGGAGCAGAGTTCAAATCCTCACCCTGTTGGCTTGTGATCATCCCGTAGCCTAATGCACCACAAAGGTTTGCTTAAGAATTAAACAGAAGGGGGTGCCATGGGAGCGGCACAAAGCTACTTGGAGGAAGAATGACCAAGAAACAAAGTGCTCTGCTTAACTGGGCAGCAGATTTAGAAGGCATCATTTGAAGACAAGGCTGTGTAAGCTGGAGCTCTCCAGTTGTTTTGGACTACAAGTCCAGTATTGCTCCAGCACTGGCCATGGATTATGGGAATCATCACCCAACACATCAGCAAGGCACCAGGTTGCCTACTCATTATAAGACATGTCTTGCTAAAACCTGCAACTGACACATACAGTCTGCAAAGGCGTTTGCCCTTCTTTCTCTTTTGCTCCCCTGCCCTGAAATGCCCCTTTTGCATCAGTCCAATCCCAGTTCTCCTTGGGCCTCCAAGGGTGTAGCTTGCTTGATCTGAAAGATAATGACTAACAAGTTCACAGAACGAGCTTACTGCGCACGCTGTGGTCTGAGCCCAGCTCAGCACTCTATCCACTATAATGCGCCGGCTCTCCAGTGAGCTTTTATTTAAAAAGTGTTTAGTGCCCTCTGGTGGGTAGCTCCTTTTATGAGCTATTCTTCCTCTCCTCTAAAAAGTACAGAAACACAAGGCCATCTGTTCTCTACCTTATCTCCCCTGACAACAGCAGCCATTTGCACTAGTATTTTCAGCCTGGTGGTTTACAGGTTATGTTGGACTCTAACTTATAATTCATTGGGTTGAGAGTCAATTTATACACTCCAGATGGAGAATGAGAAAGCCAGCGGTAGGTTCAGTGGCATCCTTTTAACTTTCCACCTATTTTACCCCACCTGCAAAAAAAGAGGGTGGTATCCCAGGACTGACACAGAACTGCTCCTGTTCAGAAGAAAGAGACCAGAAATGTTGTCTTCTGTGTGCTGATGGCAGCTCATACTACATGCAAGTCATACAGTGCAGAATGTCTGAAACCACACCAAATGCTAGCAGTGAATCCTATGGACATGCAAACAATAGTAAGATTAAATTGCAAGAAACCTTTAGCAAACTGGACTGTAATTCCTAAAGCAGTCTTCTTGAACCTGGTGCCCTTCAGAGGAGTTGGACTATAACTCTCATAATTCCCAGCCGCCACGAGCTGTGCACTTATGGGAGCTGCAGTACAACACCTCCAGAGGATACAGGCTGGGAAGGTTGTTCTAAATATCACCAGGGAAATGAAATATGCTGCTCAAAGACCAAATGGGATCACAGAGTTGGACTAGCCAATAGCTGAGTTCCCACCCAATTCAACCCAGGAATCCTAGCGTTCACTTAAATATTGCCAGCAAACAAATATCTACCATCTCACAAAGCAGTCTGCTCCATTGTCTAACAGTTCATATTTCTAGGTCATTTCTCCTGATGTTCAACTGAAAACTTTTGCCGTGCAAATTCCACCCTTTGGTTCTAATCCTGCCCCATGGAGCAAATGAGAACACTCCTACATGACAAATATGTGAGGGAAGCTTTGTGTCCCCCCTCAGTCTTATCTTCTCCAGGCGAAACACACCTAGATCTTTCAACGGTTCCTTAGAGGACTTGAGTTTTGAGACATCTGGGGATCTAGATACAGAACAAACCAATAGCAGGCTTAATGCTGAGATTTCTCCAAGTCATTTTTGGCAGCATAGGTCCGTCTTGAGCAGTTGGCTAGTTGTTCCTAACCTCCTTGCAACCCCACCATGATCCAGTTGTTTGAGGGTGATGGAGCCATGGCATGGGTCCTGTGTATATCATGGTAAGTAGTTTCAGTGCAGATTAACCTTAGGGTTAGGGGAAAAAACCCTTTCCAGCATACACCTTAGACATTACAGCACAGAAAATGGCTGGAGTCCTTTGAGGAAGCCAGGACCCTCCTTTCTGGCATTCCCTTTGACTCCTTAGATTGAGCTCTGCTAATGCAGAATACAGTAGAGGCAAATTTTGTAGAAGCTGGTGGGAGCTGTCAACACAGCTTGACTTTACCATATGAGAGGTGATGATGGGGAGATGTTTCAAAGGGGTTAAGCATTATGCAAGATGAAGAGGAGAATCCCTTGCTAGCTCAGGTCAGTTATCTGAGAAACCACCCTTCCTCTGCCTCGGAAGTGTTGACAGTCAACCATGGTCAACATGTACACTGCAGAGTGTAGCCTCTCTTAGTCTTTACGGTTACAGCAAACATCCTGCACACCTTAAATACCCGAACAAATGTATTGTGACAAGCTAGTTTTTGCAATGCAACCTTCCCCTCCTAGCCCTCCAAAAAAGCAGGGTCCATTTGTGTTTCACAGCAGAGGTCCACCACACAAGACAAAAGGGGGGGAAAAAAAAGAGCTGAGCTTTTATTGTTTTCATAACCAAACTGAAAACATAGCTCCGTGATGAGTGAGGAGAGGTTTGGGAGGATGTGTGGTCTTGCTCAGAGGGGGGACAGTAACTGGGGAACATGGACCTGAGGGAAGGGGCAGTGCCATGCCTCTCTCCACACTGGGGCATTGAGAAAGGGTGGGTGGAGTGAGGAGGGGTGCCATGGGTTGCGCAGCCCGCTCCGCTGCCCTCTGGCTCTCACTGCACTGCTTGCTCATTGGCGCTGCTGCTGGAGTCCTGGGGCTTCATCACGTCTGGGAGCTCCGGGGGGCTGGAGAAGGGATCAATGCGGAGGGGCTCAAAGGCATCTTCTGTGAGGGGAAAAAGACAGAAAGCAAAATGGCCAGTTTCTATTGATGCTATTCTCTGCTTGTATAAGCTGGAATCAGAGTCTGGAACAAAACAATTCCACAAATCACCCACAGCTCACCTTTTGGCTATCCTACTGTAAGCAAAGAGTGATGCAAATGACATACACTTAACTAGCTTGACCTGCTTTTTCGAATAGTACCACTTGTCCCCCTTTCAGCCTCAACATGAATGATTTTACTCCTACTCTGTTCACACTGACATGAATGGGAGTTAGAGGACTCCTGCACCTTGGTGCGTCACCTCCCCCAAGTGCCCCCCAAAAAGACAGTTTTCTATCCAGGAGAAGCAGTGATCTGCTCATTTGCTCAGAGGTGCTGCAGTGGAACTGAAGGGAAGCAGGGCTATCACTAGTAGCTATTCTGTCAAGGTTACCTGAACTGGTTTCATTCCTGCTAGTCACAACAAGAGCTATAATTTCAAGAATTGCTGCCTAGGTTTGCTTGTTTTCTTCCCCTTCCCCTTTCCCTTGTAATGTGTTGTGTCTTTTATATTGCAAGCCTGCAGGCAGAAACAGTCTTGTTTTCTGCTGATCTGTAAAGGAGCTCTGGTGGCTTTAAAAAAAAATAAAGAGGAGAGCAAAAATACTTTGACTAGACAACTAAATTCAACAGTTAATTTCCCAAGGGTAATAAGAAGGAGCTGAAGAACTGGCAACATCAGGTTTTCCCACAGACTCATATGAAGAAAAGAGCTCCTTAATCCTTTGTTCCAGTTTGCCTGACAACTCTTTGATCCTATGAGAATGACGAAATGGAAAGGAGCAGCTGAAGTATATAAGGGAAGGTCTCTGAAAGAAGTGCTGCTGATCTTTATCCAGAACAGAAAGGAATTAATAACTCTTTCATTTGTGTGGAATAAAGTGGCAACAGTATGTAGTAAGTATGAAGAGGGAGCCAGGTGAAAAATCTGTGAGTGTCAGACAGCTCCAAGGACACCAGGTGCCCATCCCACTTATACCCAATTGCCCTCTCTGCTGTCTTCCAAGGAATGACCACAGCAGGAGTGGGGAACCTGTGGCCTTCCAGATGCTATTCAGCTGTGACTCCCATCATCACTGTCCAGGCGATGAGGGTGATTTTATACTTACAGATCTTAGCAGATCTAAGATAGAATTCTGTGCATGTTTAGAGAGACAAAGGTCCTACAGCTCCTAGCCTTTTCCAGCCAGCCTATCTGTAGGACCCGCCTGTCTAAATATGCATGGGAGTGCACCCTAAGCAATATAAAAAGTAGTGTAAATTAATAGGTTCGGCAAGGGGAAACAAGTCATTGTTGATGGAAACCCATTTGTGTCAGGAAACTACAAGTCTGAAGCACTGCTACATACAATACACTGAAGCACTGTTCATACAATGATTTTGCTGATGATCTTACCCTTCCTCCTGCCTATACTGCCTTGAGCCCCATTCTCTCTCCTTGTCCCCTTTACTTTCAGCTCTGCCCACTATGGAAATAAAGACCCTTCTCCCAGTTTTTCCAAAGCTGAATTACGCCCTCAGGCTGAAAGGCCTTCAGCACCATTGTGTCTTCTGGCTGGTTTGGCTAGCATCTACTCTTCTCATTGAGGAAACAGGCTTTTAATCTTCCATGCCATTTTTATACTGCCTTCCATTCATCTAGTTCATTCTTGTTCTAGCTATTGAAGAGTGATGTATTTCAATTGTTAGCCAACCTGAAAATAATCACACTGAAGAGCAGTTTATACATTCAGAAGAGAAATTACTTTCTAGGCTAAACCAAGAATGCAAATCACCACTCACCACTGGTTCTGAAGGCCAAGCCAACTGTCGCTGGTGCCTGGGGCCGTGCTGTCTGACTGGTGAAGCCACAGTCTCCGAGGGTTTTGCTGTCTTCCAGGAGCTGCTCATCCTGGAGGGTAGAGACAATCACACAGGGAAGCAGGAGAAGGCTGAGCAATGCTCCAGTGTTTTATCGCATCTGGGAATCTAAAGCAGCCACTCTGCAGGTGGGGTGGTTAGAGGCAACATGCACGGAGGGCAATGAACGGAGGTTCTGCCACAACTACATCCGTGTGGCCTGCCAGGAAGTAGGCCCCAAACAGCAGCAGTGCATTAGGAGTCAGCCAAGGCATACCCCATCACCATGACAAACTGCAACCACAGAAGGCAAGATTGGGGTGGGTGCATGTTAAGCATCAGCTGGATCTAAGACTAGACCAGCCATTTCCAGATTTGCTCTTTGACAGACTAATATACTGCAAGAGAGGCCAGAGTGAAACTTAGGCCACCATGTTTGTTGAACCAGCTCACTATGCTTGTTAGAGTGTAGAGGACCCACTTATCCTTGGTCTTCACACACTCCGCTCACTTTCTATGGGCAATGACCTTGAGGAAGAGACCATGGATGGACTGGGATTCTATGTTTCTGTCTGCATTAAAGCAGAGACTAGGCGAATCCCAAAGGCAACCCCCTGGCCCAAAAACCACTATCCAATTTCTCTCACCACCTTGAGACCAAAGGGGAGGTAGAATGAAGGACAATATTAAGTGGGATATCTTACATTTGCCAGAAGGCACCCATCCATTGTTGTGGGAAAGGATAAAAATATCTGGGCACAAGAAGAAACTATGCCTCCAATTTTAATTAAGGCACCTCTACCCAAACACCCAACATCCATTTATCTCCAGTAGTACAGACAGGGCTGGATCTTGGGGCCAAAGGCCAGGGATCCACGGCCAAAGGCTTCCCCTAATAACCACCTGATTGGGACAGTGGCAAACAGGCTCAGCATTAGCACCTGGGCCCACATGGGCATGCCAGCACTGGCATTGCTTCCTACAGTATATTTTCTTCCCTAACCTACAAAGCAGAAAAGGTGGTGGGGGATGGGGAGAAATGAAATGCTCACATCTACGGTAATACACATGACCCTCTAGAGACCCCACTTCATAAGACCAGGACCTGAAATGACCTAGCCACACTACTGTCCATCCCCCCAGGTTTCAAACTCTTGGTTGGATTTCTGTGCAAGAGACCTAGAGTGAAATGCCAGCTTAGAGCTTCAGGTAACTGGGTGAGAACTTGGGTGGCAACAGTAGTAAGTAAGTAATGATGACAAAGTATTTAGTTCACTGCCAAGTGCTATATTGCAGCGATGGCATGTATTGAAGCCAGTTCCGTGTTACTTCTCTTGCTTCCATCTCTAGTGAGAGCAAGAAATGGAACCCAGGATATGGCCATACAGGTAGAACAGTAGAGCTACACAGACCCATCCAGACTCAGCTCCAACCTGACTGCAGGGCAGTGGGGTTGGAATAAAACAGAAGTACATAAACTGTTAGAAGGTTTGGATAAAAGGAACCTTTTAGTCCTCACTCACCACCTCATGTTGCATGAGTGAAAAGGAGCCTCTTTGACACTTCAAGATTGATGAAGCTGGTGGCATATCTATTAACTGGATGGTCAGATGCCTGGTTTTGTTCCTCTTATTGGAGTTTGCATCCAGACACTACTTAACAGTTGGATATGTTTATTTTACTGCTGAGATGCAGAAAAAGTTATATATAATCTTAAGTAATGTGTATATGCATCTGAAGTCCCATATGAATGTATCTAAACATTAAAAGTCTGAATGGACCCAAACATGCATACAAAGCCACCAAGGAGGAGAACAACACAAGCCTGCAAGCTCAGCAAGGCAGCAGTTCTTGGTGTCATGGTGTAGCCCACAAAAATAGGGTCCTGGGGAGTATATTCCTTCCCATGTCAACCTGAGTCATTGCCCTCATACCTTGTATAGCCTTTGTTCCTCTGGGGGTCTCTTAAGAATCCCCTCCACAATTCTTTTCAGCTCATACACTGTACTGGATTCCTTGGCGTCTGTGAAGATGGTTGTCTTGTGACGTCGGATCATAAGAAAAACGTCCTAGGGAAGGCGAGAAAAGGCCATTAAAAGGTGGTCAGTCAAACCAGTTCACAGCATTTAGTAATCCACAACATTTAGCTTAGTAGTCTGACACATTTGTGGCCTAAAGAGGAAGAAAAAATAATAAGGAAAAACCTCCAACTTTTATAAAGCATTCCTACTTTCTTTTCTTTGAACCCACCCCAGGAGTACAGGTGTATGGTCATTTATGAGCTTAGTAAGATTATGGAAAGCTGCCCAATTCCAGGTCAGGCTATTCATTGATCTAGCTCTGTATACTTTAATCTGACAGACAGTAGCTTTCCAAAGTTTCAGGCTTTTGGAGGGTTGTTGTAAGATAAAAAGAAACGAGGACAGCATGGGGGGGAATGACCAGGTATGTGTTCCCCAGTTCCTTTCAGTAACTTTCTATAAAATTTCCAGGCTCAAAACCCACCTGGAGGTTCTATCCAATATGACTGCCCATAAACTTTTGAACCTGGAGGATAATGAGTATCCAATCAAGCACAAGAGGAGCATGCACTTTTCCTGCTCTGGAAGATGGTTCATTTTGGCTATCAGTGTCCTTTGCCCCTCCTTGCAAAGAGAAGGGGTTGAAGAATTGTTGGGATTCCTCATATCCTCATGCAGCCTCTCCCAGAATCACTCCCCAACATGCACACATACAAATGCTGGCAGAGTCTGAGCTCCAACTTTGGAATCCATTTTTGATGTCGGAACTGGGACTTTGACCTATCTTATGGCCATCTAGACAGCACTTAGGAGCCATAGGAGCGTGCTCTTAAAAATCCTTTCCCTTAATAAAGGTAGTATGAACCTTCTCTCAGCAGGAAAAGATTCAAGTCACAGCTAGCCACTTGAAGACCAATGCCTTAACAGATAGATAGGATAAAAATATTTGATTCTAAATAGTTTCTCCCCTTACTGTTCAGCACCCTGGAATATTTTAGGTAGAGTGCCTTGCAAATTCTGCTTAAAAAGCCTCCAGTAATAACTTTCTCTTGCCTAAGTTTCAGTAGTTGTAGGTGGCATCTCATTTCAAGCAACTTTTTAAATTTTGGAAGTCTGATTTCCATCATATCCCAAAGCAGCTTCCCCAGCCTGGTGTGCTTTCACTGGCCAAGGTGGCCAAGGATAATGGAACTTGCAGATCAACACACTAGGTTACTTCAGAGGCTAAAACCAACCAGATTCTTTCAGATTTTGTTTGTGCCCTGAAATATCCTTTAATTTAATGCAGTTCCCACTGTTGTCCAACAAACTTTCTTGCAGCTCATATGGTCAGTGAGGCATTTCCTTACATCTTGCTGGCAAACCTGTGAGAGTATTTAGATAAGAGACAACTCAACAAAGGAAACTCTCATCCCTCCCCAATTGATAACACCAGATCCAACTTGGCTCACCAGTGCAAACCACCATGATATGCTAATTCTTGTTATATATGCATTGTGAAATACCACAGTACCAGTACAGGATGAGTTACAAAAAATAAGACTGGCTTTGGGAATAAGCACATGGGCTGTAACCAAGCAACTGTTCCATCTGAGGCTGGTTGGGACATGGTGAGGTGGTGATAGCAGGAATAGGGTGCTGGTATCTTCCAGATATTTTGGATGACAGCTCCCAAAAACCCACCCAGAATGGCCAATGATAGAGATTATTGGAGTTGTAGTCCAATACTTCTGGAGGGCACCAGGTTGCCCACCCCCAGTTTAAAGTAGCACTAGGGAGACCCATTTTCCCCTGCAATAGAAAAGCATTTGAAACGTCCTGGGTGATCTTACTAATTACCCCCTCCAGCCTTTCCTACCTCACAGGGTTGCTGTGAAGCAAACATGAGTTGGAGTTAGGGCAGGCTCATATAGACTGTTTTGGCCTTCATGAAAAAGGGTTCTGATAAAAAATTTAAGAAATTGCTGTTTGCACAGAGTGGGGCAGGGGAGAGTCACGACCTAACGTTGGGATACAGAGAAAGAGAATATGGATGGTGGCGGGAGGAAGATGGAGGAAAAATAGGCAAGATTACTACACGCAGAAGTCGCTTTTGCTGTTGTTTTGAAACTGGGAGGCTAAGAAAGAGTTTCCACCAAAACGAGGGTGGCGGGAGGTGCTACTAGGGAAGATTACGGAGAGCGGAGGCAGAAAAGAGTGGCTGAGCGTAAGGAAGGATAAAAGGGGTTTGGTGACAGAAAATGGGAAGGGAGGCCTGGGAAGGAGAAGACCCCACTGGAGGGCTCTAGGAGAGGAAAAAGAGAAAGAGGTCTGAGTGAGGGGAAGAGGAAATGGGAGAAAAAGAGCCTTCTCTAGTACCTATATAATTACAATAATAATTATAACAGTTAGTATTGTTGTTGTCAGTGCTACCACAGATACTATTACTGGCTCCCCCCTCCGTCCGGAGCCCTCCCCTACTCACCATCTTGCAGCTGCAGCCTTAGCCCAGACCCCCCCAGAGAGGAAAAAGCAGCAGAACCTCCAGTATCCCAACATGCACTACAAACGCCGGGACGGCCCAGCCCGGTTCACTAGAAGAGCAACGTGCGGCGCATGCGCTCTAGCCAGGGAAAAGGGGAAAGACCATAGATGGAGAAAAGGAAGGAACCATTGAGATAGCGGAAGGAAGGTGCGCAAGGAAGCGGCTGCTGGCCGCCATTTCGGGAAGGACACTCTAAATTCGGAATCCGCTGAGACTCCGAGTCACCTTCCTTCAAACGCTTTCTCAAGCTCCATTTTATAGCGCTGTGGTTCTCTTTCGCTGTAGCAGCCATTTTGGGGAGGTCAAACGTTGTTAATCAGCTTTGAAGCCCCTTCCCCGCTCCGGGGGGAACATTTATGATCCTTATCTCTGTTGCATGATAACTGTGGCGCTTTGGCACCAAGAGAATCTGCTGAAGAGATAAGAACGATATTAGCTCTGAGCCATCTTAGGAAGGTCATTTTCCGATGGCTGTCCTACGGTCGTTTCTCAAAAATTTACTTACGGTGAGACGTTTAAATACAGGACGCAGAGCTGAAACTGTCATTTTGTAACGAGAGTCCTCCTCCTCCTCCTCTTTCTCCTCATTCTCTCTTTCTTTCTAACACACACACACTGAGGGCCCACCATTTTGTAGCGTTGTGTTTCTTTGCCCGCAGACACCAGATCCTGGCTCAGCAGCAGCGGCTCCCGACAGTCATCTTTAGGGGCAGTTCGTATAAAGAACAAAGACATTTCTTTATACCAATAGTGGGCAGAAGGTAGTTCAAGATTTCTGACTTCCAATGGTTCTACAACAGTAGCAACAAAGTGCCAGTCCCGCAATTGTACTGTAGAGATGGAGAGAGCTTGGAAGTACCCAGGAATGGTGTGGAAGGATTGTGAGCTCCATTCTGTGCTGGTACTTATTCCTGGACCAGGAATATGGCCAGAGGCATTCTTTTCTTTAATTCTCTGTGTGAGGATTTGATTTTGCACCAAGCACTGGTTGTGGATCCTGGGGTTCTAGCAGACAAAAATCCTTAAGCCTGAAGTTGGCTCATGCTTGTTTCACACTATTTTTCTATGTACTCCTGTTTTTGAAGGGAACTTAGGTGGTCCTGATTAAATCTTTTTTCACAAGAAAATTCAGTTTCATTAGGTGTGACCATAGTTACTTCTCAGTGCAAAAGTAAATAGAGTGAGTTTAGAAATTCTGCAGAATCAAAGATCATTATCTTAGAGACATGATCAATTCTGGATGTAAAGAGTGAATTTTCTGTATCTCACATGCAACATGTACAGTCTCTCCTCTGCCCCTGCATGTGAAAAACTAGCACTTTAGGGAAATGATTTGTCAAAACACTTTTTCTTGATGTGCAAGTTTTCTGTGCGCAAGGGACTCTCCTCTCCTCTTTGCTCTAGGAGTGTCTTTGAAACATGAAAGCTCTGTTCCATTCCCCAAGCATAACATGGCACATTCCAGCAAAAACTTTATGGTCAAACTTTACATGAACTTTCATCAACCTGATACTCTCCATGTGTATAATTGTAACTTTCACTACCGCTAGTCTGCCTAGCTAATAGTTGAGAATCCTGGAAGTTCTAGACCAGTGATGATGAACATTTTAGAGACCGAGTGCCCAAACTGCAACCCAAACCCCACCTATTTATCACAAAGTGCCAACACTACAATAAAACCTGAAATAAGGTTTTAGTTTAGAAAAAAAAAAAAAAACAATTCACAGCCAGTCCAAGCAAATATATATATATATCCTTCACAGCGCACTGAGCGGCCATGCAAAAACTTGGATGAGTTGCGGCTAATGAGTCACAGCTTGTGACATCATCACCTGATGTGGCTACTCCTTTCCAAGCATGCACATGGTCCCTATGTGCGCTGTTATCCGATACTCGGCTGCTGGGGTGATGCTGCGGCGACTTGGCTTTCATACTGACAGAGACGACTCTGCATGCCCGATGTGGCACGTATGCCATAGATTTGCCATCACTGGCCTGACCCTACCCTGGTGCAATCCCCTAAGCCTAATCCTAACCCTAACCCATTCTAAAAACATTCCAACCATCAAAATCATACTAGGACACCATGTTTTTCTAACCCTAACCCTACCCTGGTGCACACCCCTAACCCTAATATAGGGGTAAAATGCCATTGAAAATAATGTGATTTTGAAAAAGCCTTCCTTGAGTAGCTTTTCTGCACAGCTCAACATTTCTGCCCATTCTAAACACATTCCAACCATCAAAATCATGCCAGGACACCTCGTTTTTCTAACCCTAACCCTACCCTGGTGCACACCCCTAACCCTAATATAGGGGTAAAATGCCATTGAAAATAATGTGATTTTGAAAAAGCCTTCCTTGAGTAGCTTTTTTGCACAGCTCAACATTTCTGCCCATTCTAAACACATTCCAACCATCAAAATCATACAAAGACACCTCATTTTTCTAAACCTAACCCAGTGATGGTGAACCTTTTAGAGTCCAAGTGCCCAAATTGCAACCCAAAACCCATTTATTTATTGCAAAGTGCCAGCACTACAATAAAACCTGAAAACTGGAGTTTTAGTTTAGAAAAAAAAAACCCTCACAGCCAGTCCAAGCAAATATATATATATATCCTTGGCAGTGCACTAACCGTCCATGCGAAAGCTCGGACAAGTCACGGCTAATGAGTCGTGGCTCATGATGTCATCACCTGGTGCCGCTACTCCTTTCTGAGCATGCACATGGCCCCTATGTATGCTGTTATCCGATGCTCAGCTGCTGGGGTGATGCTGGGGCAACTTGGCTCGCACCCTGTCAGAAAGGGCTCTGTGTGCTCACCGTGGTACGCATGCCATAGGTTTGCTACCACTGTTCTAGACTCAAACATCTGGAAGGCACCCAGCCAGATGACATAAAGGGACTCATTGCTAACAAGCATGCCAAAGTACTTGATGGTACTTGAGTCTGCTTTTTAACACACTATAGGATCTTCCACATGGAGGGTATCACTAACAATAAAAATGCACTATGTTAATAACTATAGTAAAAGCCAAGGGTCCATCTAGTCCAGGATTCTGTTTACACAGTGGCTGACCAGATGCCCAAATGACAATCCTGTGAGTCTAGCACCTCTCAGCGCATGTTCCCTAGCAACTGGTTCACACAGGCATACTGCCTCTGAAACTGGAGGCAGGATATATTAGAATTAGGAACCATTACCAGCCTTTTCCTCCATGAATTTTTTCAACACCCCTTTTAAAGTAATTCAGATTGGTGGTCACATCCCAACATCTTGTGGCAGCAAATTCCATAATTGTGTGTAGTGTGAAGAACTGCTTTCATCTTCCTGAATGGAATCTTTTTCTGGAAAGGAAAAAGACCAAGGAAGCCATGGAATATGGGGAGGGTTGCAAATCGAAGACATTGCTTTCTGGACGTCTTATAAAATTCTCTGAATGAGGAGAGAGAATTGCACAAAAAAAAGGCTCATTCGGGCAGTGAGAAAGCGGGTTTGCAATGGCCAGGCACATCTGAGACACCAGTTACCACTAAGAGGCAGTGGGTGCCATTTTGTCCAACCCAGGGGGATCACCGACAGTGACCACCAACAGAAAGTTGCATATGTGGCATGCCCCAATTACCTATGTTTTCCTCCACAACCGTCAGTCCATCTTCCGTAGCCTGTGAGCATGCTCAGCCTTCACTCAGCTGATTTTGGGGGACTCTCCATTAGCTTTTTTCTCTTGAAGACTGTTTTGTACTTGTGCGGGGTTTTGTGTTCCCCTGAATCTTCTGATAACCTCTTGCACTTGATGCTGCTGCTTTGGCTAAGTATGCACTAGTGCTCAGATGGGAACAGAGGGAATGACAACACATTCATCTTGGCTTTGCCAGGGCAGCAGCTGCCTATATCCATGACTCCCATGTTTTCCTTCTCTGCTATTCTTCTGCTTTGTGGCCTTTAAATGATGTGCAACTTATGCTGCAACACATCCAATTGTGTGATGCAAGGGGCTTTCCACCATACAGCCTTCTTATATGCGGACACTGCCAATATTAACTTCGTTAGGAAGTAGACAAGGCCATGGAAGCACCTGGGAAGGTTTTTAATAAATTGTTTAATTGTGCTGGTGCAATTCTCTCTCTTTCTCTTTCCCTCTCCCTGCTCCCTCCCTCTGTATGTGTGTGTAATATATTTAAAAGGTTTGAACAAACTGTTGGTAGTGACTTGAACAGTTACAATGAGAGACATGGAAATTAAATCAGGATCTTGGGATGTTTCCAACCAGCATGTAGACTGGCTATGGATGCTCAAGAGGTGATGGAGAGGCATTCTTTACATGCTCAGAGGTACCTCTCTTTCTAACATAGCCCTCCAGATCTTTAGAGAAAAAATGTTTACAAATCTAGCACCAACTCTTTTCATTGCTCTCTATCATCCAATACGCACTTTAAAGTTGCAGAGAGAGCTTCCAGACAGAGGACTGCTATTACTACCAATCAAAGGGCTTTGTGCAACTATTCCGTTTTTCTGCCCCCCCCCTTTTGGTGGAAATAAGAAAAGCAGAAAAAACGATGGCAGAGAGCATGGGAGGGATACAAATGGAGGACATTGCCTGGAATCCTCCCACATAAAAATGTTGTTAATGAGGCAGGGCAGCTGTACAATCAAAGCCTCATCTGGAAGTGTCCCAGATTATGACATGGAAGCCCACCGTGAGGTATTTAACAGTGAGAGGGCAGCTGCTATTCTCAATACTCAGTTCTCTCTCCGGAGTTGTTGTGCTATCTGAACTTGGTGAATATGCATTTTGTGAGGTTTGATCATGCCTTCCATAATCCACGGGCTGTTATATGGTTGTTTAACCCTGGCATAACCCTTGCTCTTTCGCTTCCACGACATGACGATTCCTGAGCAGGCTCTGCACATATAAGATGGTGCCTTTAGGTGCTACGGCTCATCCTGGATTAAGTAACTCACGACAAGATGCAACATGTCATCTGAACCCAGTTGTTATTGAATCCTCTTGTAGCAAAATGTCTTTCTTAGAGAACTTCTACACCTGCAGAGGGAATGC